TGCAATATCTGTTAAGAAAAAAAAGAAGAAGAAGATAGCAGGAAGGGAAGATTGAAGGGGGGGAAATCGGAGGGGGAGACGAACCATGAGAGACGATGGACTCTGAAAAACAAACTGAGGGTTCTAGAGGGGAGGGGTTGGGGAATGGGTTAGCCTGGTGATAGGTATTAAAGAGGGAACGTTCTGCGTGGAGCACTGGGTGTTATGCACAAACAATGAATCATGGAACACTACATCAAAAACTAATGATGTAATGTATGGTGATTAACATAACAATAAAAAATTAAAAAAAAAAAAAGAAGCTAGTCTTTCCACGGGCTGAGAGGCAAAGCAGCATTCCAGGCTGGAGGAAGGACACAAACAAACAGAACGGGCTCAGCAGTTAGTGGCAGTTCTCTGTAAGAAGGTAGAGAAAGATAAAGAGAGAAAGATAGGTGATGACTAATACAGAGATATGTGAAAGTCAGAATAAGCTATTAGGCCTTTAACACACTGGAAATGGGTAACCACTAAAAGTCTGGGGACCCAGGAGAGTGGAAATACATATACACATATAAAATATGCATTTCAAGATATCAGACAAAAAAGTTTTCTAGGGATTGGGGTCAGACGACAACCACCAGAAACAGACTGATAAAATCAAGGACAAAGAGAAGAATTACTGATAACCTCAATGCTTAAAGGCTGAACTAATTTAGAAAACTGTATTTGAAGCCCCAAGACGGGATGGTGTCTTCAGTAAAAGAATATAGAGCAAGTTGCTAAGGAGCTTTGGAGTGTTATCCTCCAAGAGGATAATCTGCTAAAGCCAGATCCATTGTGTGCCAAACCAGAAGACAGGTGTGAAGAGCTGGGAGCAAGCCAACCAAGAGAAACTCTAATGTTTAAAGTTCAAATGGAAACACATCAGCAGTACTCACTGCCATACTGGCAAGAAGTGCTTAAGAAGTAGCCCAAGTAGATTGCCCATCTGTTTCAACCTTGCAAAAATTATGTTAAAGATTTCTCTGTATTTGACAAGGCAACTTAGTAGTTGCTGAAATTGGAGAGGTGAAACTTTTAAGAACAAAGAAAGAAACTTCTTTTGACAGCTCAAGCTATGATATTCATCCATATTACAATTCAGATTGAAATAATTAAAGTTACTTCATAGTGAGTAAGATCCTTTTCGATTTGGCTTATTTTTTATACATGATACTAAATGTACATCATAATTTGGCCATTCTCCCTGGAAATACATTAATATAGTTTGAAAAGTAGAGAAAATATCAAGTTTTCAAGTACATCAATAATCCAGAAAGAAAAGAATATCCCTCCAATTTTCAAACTTGTACAAAGATTACTAATATCAGCTTTGCTTTCTTTGGACCATTTAAAATGCTTTAGGGGACACCTGGGTGGCTCAGTGGGTTAAGCGTCTGCCTTCGGCTCAGGTCATGATGCCCAGGTCCTGGGATCCAGCGCCCCCCACCCCCACCCTGTCGGGCTTCCAGCTCAGCAGGGAGCCTACTTCTCCCTCTCCCTCTGTCTTTCCCTCTCTGCTTGTGCTTGCTCTCTCTCGTGCCCTCTGTCTCTCTCTCTCTCTCAAATAAATAAATAAATAATCCTTAAAATGCTTCAGGATAAGGACACAACATTATGCTAATAACAGCATGTCATTTCTTAAATATATTTTAAACTAAAATATTTCCTAATTTCTGTTCCAATTTCTTCTTTGACCCATAAATTACTTACAAGTATATTTATTTCCAAGCAGCTAAGGATTTCTTAGTAAACTCTGTTATTAAATTTGAGTTTAATTCCATTGTGGTCAGAAAACACTCTAAACAATTTTGATCTTGAAATCTGCAGGAGCTTTCTTTAGGGCCTGGCAAATAATTTCTTTTGGTAAGTCTTCCATGTGTACTTTAATGAAAGCAAATTCTATTTTTGCTGGGTGCAGCATTCTATATATGTCAATTAGGTCAAGTTTATTCATCACTTTATTAAGATTTTCTATATCCCTACTAACTTTTTAGCTGGCTGTTCTATAAACTCTTGAAGAGTGTGTGCTAATGTCTCCCACTAAACATGTCTTATTTTAGATCTGTCAATTTTGGTTTTATATACTTTGAAGTTACAGTATTTATAACATACAAGTTTAAGATTGTGATCCTGACCCCATTATCATTATGAAATAATCTCCACCTCCAAGTAGCATTTACCATATACTTGGTCTGATATTAGTGTTGCTGTACCCAGCTTTGCTCTGGTCGGTGTTTGTCTCTGTATATCCTCTGCCGTCCTTTTGTTTAAAGTATGTGACTTGTAAGCAGTATATAATAGAGTTTTGGTGAATGTAATTACTTATGTAGAAGGATTTATAGTTACCATCTTATTGTTTTCAATTTGACCCATCTATTTTATGTCCTCCTTTTATTCTTAATTAATGCAATATTGTTTATTCCATTTTCCCTCTTTTAACTTGTTAGATATTTTATTCTATTAAGAGTTGCCTTAGAGGGGCACCTGGGTGGCTCAGTCATTACACGTCTGTCTTCAGCTCAGGTCATGGTCCCCGGGTCCTGGGATCGAGCCCCTCATCGGGCTCCCTGCTCAGCGGGGAGCCTACTTCTCCCTCTCCCACTCCCCCTGCTTGTGTTCCCTCTCTCACTGGGTCTCTCTCTGTCAAATAAATAAATAAAATCTTTAAAAAAAAAAAAAAAGAGTTGCCTTAGAGATTACAATATGCATCCTTAGCTGATTACAAGTCAACGCAAATTATTACCTTTACCATTCATCCCCCAATAATCCTAGCATCTTAAAACACTTTAACTTCTTTAACCCTCTCTTGCCTCTTGTGCTATTATACATTTTAGTTTTATACATATTTTAAAATCTAAAAACATTATTGTTTTGCGTGGTCAACATTCATTTTTATTTTACATACATAGCACCCTTCATGATGACCTCATTCCTTCCTGCATTTCCATCTGGGATTATTTTCCTTCTGCCTAAAGTATCTCTTTTTAGCATTTGCTGTAATGCAGGTCCACGACTGACAAAATTCCCTCAGTTTTTCTCTGAAAATATCTTTATTTCACCTTCATTTTGAAGGAAATTTTTGCTAGGAATGGAATTCTAGGTTGGCAGGGTTTGGGGGTATTGTTTGGTTGGTTGGTTTCATTATTTAGATGGCCACTTTACTGTCTCGGTTTTTTTTTTTTGCTGCTATTGTTGTTTGTTTTAACCATTTCTTTTAAGATGTCATAGCCAGTCAATCATACTATTTGTTGCTCCTTTAAAAGTAATGTGTCTTTTTCCACTCTCTCATTGCTTTGAAGACTTTCTCTGTCAGTTTCCATGGTGTTATACTGATGTCAAAGACAGGTGTCCTTTGTAGCCATTCTGCTTGGGGTTTTCTAAGTTCTTTGAATCTGTAAGCAGCTCTCTTTCATCATTTTGTAAAATTCTTAGTATTATCTCTTCAATATTGTTTCTGCCCCATTCGCTCTCTTTTCCCACACATTCCAATTCTACGTATGTTAGACCTTTTAACCACATCCCACACGTCTTTAACATCCTTACCTATTTCTTTTTTATATTCTTTCTTCTCTGTGTTTTCATGTGAGATTATCTACTGACCTGCCTCCCTATTTATTAATCTTGTCTTATGTTGTAACCAATCTGCTATTGATTCTAATCATTAGGTTCTAATTTCAAATATTCTACTTGATGTCCCAGAATATCCATTTGGTTCTTCATAATAAATTGGACTGAAATTCACTATTCCTCCGTTTTGTCTATCTTTTCCTCTATTGTTTTAAACATATTATTTACGGTTATTTTTAAGTACTTGTCAGCTAACTTCCATATCTGAGTCATCTGTGGGTCTACTTCTATTACCTTAGGAGACATGATCTTATAGCTTAGATGTCCATTATGTTTTTAGTGTATGTTGAACATTGTAGGGTCTCTCTATATTATTTTCCACCTACAAAAAAGGGACAGAGGGCTTCCTTGTACTCTGCTACACAGGAGGAGAGAGGGCTCATCACCCAATACGTGATGAGACTGGGCTAGGTCTCCATTTTTGTAGGACTCAGTCTGCCTCTGGTTTGCCCCTGTTCTTAAGATATGGCTCTCCATGGAGTTCAGTGAGAAGCCTGCAAGAAGTTTTCAGAATAGCTCTTCGGCCTCCTTGACATAATTCTTGAGAAGGAGATTAATCACATGTTTGGGGCTCCTCCAGTTTCATTTGTTTTTTATTTTAGCCCCAGAAACCTCGTCTGGCTTTTCTGTCTCCCAGAAGCAGCCTTCTGCCTGGGGCCAAACCTGGACTCTTGTCTGCTCACTACACTTGGAAATCAGTAGCTGCCCCAGGTGATAAGTAGCTATAGATCTTCAGTGTCTATCGACTGCTGCCTAGGGTTTTCATCTCTTGCCTGTTTTGTTTTCAGATTCCTGACACCACAGATCCACATTTCAATATACCAGCATGAGGCTGTGGGAGAGTTCAGTGAGGCTTCCAGAAGCTCCTGGCCTATCTCTTCAGCTCCCTTCCAAATGTCGTACTGGGGAAACCAGTTGTGTGTCTGAGACTCCCCTTTCCCACCACATCTCCAATTTGTCACTCTGGCCATGTGTGACCAGGAAACGTTGGTAGTTTCTCTTTCACTCAGTGGAGGCCCTCTGCCTCAGCTTATGTCTCCAGAATCAGCAAGCTTCTGCAAAAAATCAAACGGTTGCTGATCCTCAGTGCCCCTTGGAATGATAATCCCTCCTCTGGAGTTTTAGTCCAACTATTCCTCAGTGCTTCCAGAGCACTGCAGAGCCCTTGAAAATATGATTTTTACAGATGTTGTCAGTCTATAATCAACTACATATTATACCTTGTGCTACTAATTATGGCCAATGAATTTCTACATATGTGTAAGATATTTAGTAGTCTTGGTATTTTCCAAAGTACAGTCTACATATGCTTTTAAAATAAAAGCATCAGTAAAACAGTTACTTCTTACCTCTTCATAAAACTTCACCTGAGGTACAGCTTCATTAATGTCATTCAAACAAAAATCTTTAAATAGCAAGAAACCTAAAGGAAAAGAATAAGAAATTTCAGGGTGGGCAATAAACTGAAATTTTACCCCACAGGGTGTTTTCAAAGTAATGTGTTTATACTTAAACCTCTTCCTCCCCTACCTTCAAAAATAATAATAAAGATTTTGGGGCACCTGGGTGGCTCAGTCAGTTAAGTGTCTAACTTGATTTTGGCTCAGGTCATGATCTCAGGGTCGTGAGATCGAGTCTACGGCCATACCACCCTGAACGCACCCGATCTTGTCAGGGTCGTGAGATCGAGCCCCACCTTGGGCTCTGCACTGGGCACAGAGTCAGCTTAAGATTCTCTCTCTCCCTCTCCCTCTGCCCCTCCTCACTCCTCCCTCCCTCTCAAAAATTAATAATAACAATAAAGATTTCAAATGGCTAATTATACCCCAAAAGAAAATACTCCACATAAAGTAAGAGTACCACATACCTGGCTCCTTGCTTTGGGTTCCTTCCCTACTGGCAACCTCCCCGAACACACACTTTTAAAAACGGCATGATAAACAGTGCCAGTGGTCACCACTCCTTAGAGCCACTGGTCACAACAGCAAACAAAAGAATAACCAAAGAAATAAGAGATATGGGTAGTGTGGAAGTGTTAAGAGTCATCATAAAGCTAATAAATACTATGCCCACGGAAACAGGACGAAATTCCCTAAAAAAAAAAAAAAGACAGAAGGACTTTCATGACCTTCCCAGCCACTTACTACCTCTAAGTCCCTCAAAGTCCCCACCAAATACCCTGTGCCAGAGCAGACTACCCACTCCCAGATTATTCTCTGCTCCTTCACAGTGCCATGCCTCCCCTTCCATCAATCAGCACCTTATACTGGGAATACCGCCTCCACTGCACAGTGCCTGGTACACAGAGAAGTCCAATAGATGTTTGTTGAACAAATGCTTGTTTACATAACCCTTCCAACATGGCTCTGTCAAAGTACTTAGCACAGTCCAATTAATTATCTGATTTATAAGTTCCTCCTGCATTTGCAAACCAACTGCCTAGCATAATGCCTAGCACACAGTCAAGACTAAATGAACGAATGAAGTTCACTAAGACAAGCTGATACCAGACTGAGGGTAGAGATTACAAAAAGTCAAAAACAAATTAAAAAAAAAAAAAAAAAAAAAAAAAGTCAAAACAGGGGCGCCTGGGTGGCACAGTCAGTTAACCGTCCAACTCTTGGTTTCAGCTCAGGTCATGATTTCAGGGTCTTGAGACTGAGCCCTGCTTCGGGCTCCATGCTGAACATGGAGTCTGCTTTGGATTCTCTCTTCCTCTCCCTCTACTCCTCCTGGCTCATACTCTCTCTCTCTCAAATAAATAAATCTTTTTTTAAAAAAGTCAAAACAATGAAAGGACTGCTGGAAGAAACAGAAGTCACAGAAGGGAACTAAAGGAAAGACTCACAACAAGTCTAAGATGTAGGGAGAAGGTAGACCGGAATTCCCCTGGTAGGACAGAGAGAGGCAAAGAAAGCAGCTTTGACAGGTTTTAACTGAAGTTAGCCAAAGAAATCATGTAACAACCTGTCTGTTACTGCTCCATAAACTCCCCTCCATAGTTCCAGGAAGATGACCTCTGGAAATGGTAAATGTTCACTGAGTGGAGCTAGGAGAAAGTATTTGGAATACTTAGTTAAATCGGCAAGGCCAGACCAACTAGGGTTGGGTGCACCGGGCAGTAGGGACATGGGCTCGCTCATTTCATTCTCAAGGAACTGAGGACAGACTGACCTATGAAGCAAGCAGAAAATTCAGGAAGCAGACAAATAGAAAGAGTTGAAGATGCAAATCTCTACCTATTTGCACATTAATATTTTTATTTTAAATCAGAGACATGGTTACCTTTTCGTTCTCGGGCATGTCAAAGTATGTAATTTCAAATTTCCCTTGTCATTTCTTCTTGGACTCATGAGTCACTCAGAAATATGTGGTTTGAGTTCCAGATATTTTGGGGTTTTCAGGTTATTTTTCTGATATTGATTTCTGTTTAATTCTGCTGTGGTCAGAGAACATATTCAGTATGATTTCAACACTTTCAATTTATTGAAACGGCTTTGGCCCCAAATTTGGTCCATCTCGGTGAATGCTTCGTGGGCACTTGGGGGGGAAAAGTGTATACGGTAGAGTGTTCCATTAAACAGAATAAAAAGGCAATGAAGCCGAGTTGGTTGGTCAGGCTGTTCAAGTCCCTCACCTAAATCCTTACTTAATGTTTGTCTCCTTATTCTATCCATTATCAACAGAGGACTGTTGAAATCCCCATCTGTAATTGTGGATTTGCTCATCTCTTTTCAGTTGTTGTCAGTTTTTCGTTTATGTATTTCTTTTTCTGTTTTGGGGAGAGAAAACTAAAATGAGAATTTGAACTGAGGTTATTTTGATCATACGAGACATGTTTTTGTGACATCTAAATGACAAATGAACTAATATGCCACATATTGACCACTGGCTTTGGCCTGAACTTGGAATCAAGGGGAAATGGTTCATCATGCCCATTGTGCCCTCTGGAATCGAGGCCTTACTTTCTCCTCCAGCCTCTTCTTAGACTGTTCTCTCCCAAGCTCCCTGCCCTGAGGCCACGTGTCTGCATTCTAGCTCCTCTCTGATACCAAACCCGATCTGCTCTCAGGGTTACCAACTTGCTATCCCCACTTCCTAAAACACTCTCCCTGACCTTGTGGACCCGCAGAGCTCAGCTCAAACGCCCCCTCCTTAGGCCTTCCGGGATTCTCATTTATGTTCATTCTCTCTCTAAGATGCGCAAGAGCACATCCGTGTGCACCACACGTGTACGTGCAGACACACACTTTGTTTATAGCACTTGTGACTAGCAAAAATTATCATATGCATATGTTTGTTTGCTTCTTTATTATTTACCTCCCCCACAACCATGGAAAGGCCACACAGGTCTTATTCTTTACTACATGCGCAGGAACAAGAATATCATGATATAGAGGGAGTGCAGGAGAAAGGGGGATGGGAGAGCAGGGACAAGTAAGGAAAGGGGAAGAGGGAGGAAGGAGGGGGAGGAGAGGGGAAAGGAGGAGGAAGAGGGAGAGAGGAGATGAACGAATGCACATCCAACTGCAAACGTTTCTACCTGCTTCCACTGTCAACGTGTGGGATGAGCCAAAGAATGACTAACATACTGCAGGGGAAAAGCCCCATTATTCTCCTCATGTCTGCACACAAACTGAAGCTTTACTTTCTGCCTCAGCAGCTACTAAAACGAAACAGCAAGAAGAAAGGTGTTTGGCCTTTTGGATAAACTCTAGATCACTGTGTTTCAGGCCAAGAGCAACTTCCCTTCATTAGGCTTAAATTATACACAAAAACCCCCAAATGAAGCATTTGTCAGACTAGAACAAAAGCTAAAGGGCAAAAATAAGGAAATAATTTGCCTAACAGGTTCACTTCATCAGTGGTTTCTCTCCAGATTTTAAAGAATAAAAAATAGTGACCCAACACCTGCTTTTACTAGATAACTGTGGGATGTGTTTACCCTTGTTTCTATATTTGGGCCGCTGCAAACTGCCTGCATACTGATTAAGTTTTGAGTATATATAACATCCAGAAAAAGTAAACTATCCCAATTTGTCACCACAGTATTTTGCAAAAATTAGAAGAAAAAACTGTATTGCTTTTTATAAAATACCAATGAGAACTTTTTATGATATATAAATATAACTTTTATATTGCATTTTATAAAATATCAAATAAGAACGTTTTAAAGTATCAAATGTGAGTTTCTATGAGAAATTTTGAAATGTTACTTCCTAAAAAATTTTCAAAGGAGAAAGAAAAACTATGAAAAAAGTCTTGGGCGCCTAGGTGGCTTAGTCGGTTAAGTGCCTGCCTTTGGCTCGGGTCATGATCCCAGGACCTTGGGATCAAGTCCCACATTGGGCTCCCCACTCAGCAGGGAGTCTGTTTTTCTCTCTACTCTTCCCCCTGCTCATGCTGTCTCCCTATCTCAGTCTCTCTCTCTCCCTCAAATAAATAAATAAAAAATCTTTAAAAAACTAGTCTTGCAAGAAATAATATCTGTCCTAGGTTTTGCCAAGGAGACTCAAGCACTGGGAAAGATAGATTGCATAACTGCTAAAAGTTTCTACCAATACTGACTGATTTGACAAAGCATTTCCTGAGTATCTACTAAGAGCCACTGTGCTATACGTTAGGGATGCAATGGTGAAGACAGAGAATTTTTCCCATAAGGGACTTATGCATTTGGTGTAAGGGACAGACAACAAAGAAGTACATAAAATAAAATAAGTGCAATTTATGTAAATGATATAAAGAAATTTTTAAAAAGTGCTGATAGATGATAAAAAGAAGGAAATGTATGTCATACAGAATGACAATAAGACCTCTCTGGGCTGTGGGATGAACAAATTACAAAGCATTTCAGATTAGAAAAGGCTAAAATGTTTAATCTTACTCCTATTCAATAATGTATTAGAGGTCTTAGCCAGTCCAATAAGGCAAGAATAGGAAATAAAAGTTACTCAAAATGGAAAGGAAGAATTAAACCTGATTCTATTTGGGGCACCTGGGGGGCTCAGTTGGTTAAATATCTGACTTGTGACTTTGGCTCAGGTCATGATCTCATGGGTCATGATCGAGCCCCATGTTGGGCTCCACACTCAGCAGGGAGTCTGCTTGAGATTCTCTCCCTCTGTCCCTCCTGCCCCTCTCTAATAAATAAATAAATCTTTAAAATTTTTTTAAAAAATTAAACTGATTCTATTCATAAACAAGCTGGTTATCTATATAACAAATCCTATCTACAATGTTATTAGAATTCATATAAGTGAATTTAGCAAGGCCCCACACTACACGGCCATTAGGTAAGAATTAATGACATTCTGATATGCTCAGATCACACAATTTTAAAACAAATTTTAAAACATGTCCATTTTCGGGGTGCCTGGGTGGCTCAGTCGTTAAGCATCCGCCTTCAGCTCAGGTCATGATCCC